ACAGAGTGTTTTAGGGCAGCAAACCCTGGTCTCAGGCCACCTTGAATGTAGCTTGAAAACCACAGCTTTGAAGCCTCATGCGCGCCATACCTGGGAACAGAATTGTAGCTACCCTGGGTCCGTATAAACACTATGTTGCTATACCTCTTACACACCTATACAAGTTCAAAGCACGAATGTGGATTGCTGTGCGTGTGTAGAGGTTATGGAGCGGCTGACGGAAAGGGAACTTGAAGTACTATACCTGGTAGCTGCACTATAGCTACCCTGGGTCTCTATACCTGGCAAGGTGCCAACTACACCTTTCCATTCAGATGATGCAAATGATGCAGATTGCATTTCTTGCATCACCACCCCTCAAAAATCACCTCCAACACAACCTCAAAAAACCTTCCCTCGACGCACCCTCCTCCCCCAGCATGTGCCGAGTTTACGTGTACCTTTCCCGGGCCACCCCCCCCAAACCCCCTAACTACTCACTTCGTTCGCCGAACACAACTCCGCTGGCGCCTTCTACGAAGGCTGGCTTTCGTAATCTTCAAGTTTGTAAACAGCATCTGACTGCCTCTGCCCCCCCTGCCCTCTGCATAGGACATATTAGGACATGACTTCCATGGAGATCAATCCCACAACTAGAGGTGAACCTGATTTTCCACAAGCTCTTGTGTCAGGGTGTCCCCCAATCCCCTCCAATTCGCTGGCGGGTGCTCCACTTGAAACACTCCTGGGTAGGTAGGTGATGGTAGGTGATGAGTCGGGTATGGAGTCGATGATCTCCTTCAGATCGAGACCAGCGACGTGTCCGTCCGATCTTCATGGAAGTGACCTCCATCGCGGTTTGGGACCAGCTATAGTACCATCAAGTACCCCCGGAAAGTACCTCCTGGCAGTCCCCAGTGATCCCCAGTGTCTGGTTTTGGAGGCTCCCGTACTCGAATGAAGCCTTCGCCCGGAGAAAATGGTTAAGCTTGATCTGGGAGTCACCAAAATTATGGAATGGGTCCATGTCATGGGTCATGACATGGTTCCCAGAATGGGACGGACATGTAGGTTTTCCTTGAAGCCGAGAAAACATTAAAGTAGAAAACTTGAAATCGATCTTGCCACCCCCCAAAAAAAAGACTCGACCCCCCTTGGCAAAAAGGCCTGTCATGACATTGGAAAAACCTTCGCCTCAGATTTAAGCCCTGTTTCTGGTGCTTTGGTTTCAGAATGAGGGTGGCTGGATCCCTCAAAAAGAGGGATCCTTCTCCCTGAATCCTCCCAGAACCTCCCAGAACCCCCTAGACCGCCTGCTGGGCAAGACGAGCGGACTTCACCCGGCCGCCATCGCGCGGTTCCCGCGGCGGGGTTTTTCAACCCGCGGACCTGGCGGGGGTCGTCCAGGTCCACCGGGCGCTGGTCGAAGCGAGCCAGAGCTGCGGGGAGGACATGGCTTCTTGGAAGCGAGGCTGTTGTTTGCGACGGAAGCGTGCTTGAAATACCATGAAATACCATGCAGTGGCTCTACAAGACATGAACACTGGCCAGTAACCCTTTCTCTTCAATTTGTGTAGGTGCGTTTTAAGGCAAGCGTCGGATGGAATTCATGGGCAGGGCTCCTTCAGTCACTGCTTGTGTGGCGGTTTTGGCCTTTTTCGGAGTTGTTTTGGGGGGCCAAAGGCAGTTCGTTCGAATCAGGTTTGGTTTTTGCTCTGACGCGTGCAGGTTTGGGTCCGGTGTTTTTTTTTTCGTATGTGCTTATTTACAAGCTACCAAAGTCACACACCGGATCGTACACACGCCGGTGAGGGGGTGTTCCGTTCGGGGCGTTCCAGGCTTGCAGCTCTGCAGCTCATGGTGCTGGCACTTCTAATGACCATGTGTGTAGACCGAATTTCGCTGTCTCTTACTTGGACTCGAAGAAGCCCAACTGCCAGCACCCAGCAACAAGGTCTCTCGTTGAGGCTGAGGCTTAGGTTTGGGAGCCTTTTTTGGGGAGGTCTCAATTCGTGACCTGTATCGGGCCCTGGTACAGGAAGAAAAACCAACGCGAGAACCTCGAGACCTTCGTTTTGGGGGGAAACCAAGAGAGGTTGAACAGCCCCAAGGTCGCCCATCCCATATGTACCACTACAGGATCCTAGTTCAGTCAGGTCTTTCAACCTCTGTTGGAACTCTTCGTTTCGGCCCGAATCGAGCCCGCGTGGGGGTATCGACGGAGGGGTGCGACGGACACCCGGAAAGGACAACACGAGGCGCCGCATACTGTAGAGGGATGTCATCTACGCGTCTTAAGACGCGTAGCAGCAATCCATGTAAGGACTGGTCTAGATTGGCCCACATTCCTCAACTTGACCATTCCTCAAAGCCACCATCAGCCACTCCCACAGCGTCTTTTTCGATCGGCCGCACAGGTCAGCCCGGACTCGCCGGGTCGGGGGTTTCATGTCTCTTGGACCTGCCTCACTGGCATTAGTCCCAGGTACTCAGAGTCATCGCCCCTCTTAGTGTTCGAAGACGACGCGAGCAGCGGACGTCCCTGCAGCCCCACGCGACGACTCTATACGTACCCCACGCGACCACGAAGCAGTCAAATTGAGACTCGAAGCAGTAAATGGATTGTAGCACGCCTGGAATTTGGACGGCTCGTCGCTGATTTCTTGCGATGCAAAGGCGTTTGAAGAGAATTGAAGTTTGAATGAGGTGCCTTTAAAACATGATGGAATCAATATATACATGACATCCAGCATCCGGCGAAGCATCTACTGCTAGCCCCGTGGACGCAAGAACCGCGACCAACGGGCGGAAGGAAGCTGCATAGAAGGCCAGTCTCATCCAAGCTGGCAGCTGCAATTGTCAAGTCAATCTGTTGCCTTCGAATTCTCTTAGTCTCATTGGATCTTATTGGGTGGTTGCCGACGAAGCGGATCACGAAGTGGACACGAAGTGGATCACGGAGCCAACATTATTTGATGAAGTAAACGATTTCAGCATAAAGTTTAATCTGGGAGTCCAAGACCATGCTAAAACATTGTCTTTAGGCGATCCGAAAAGGAATTTCCTTTATCTTGGTGGTGCCAAAAATAGTCTTTGGACTTCTAGGGGGTGGAAGGTCATCTGGACATTCCAAAAGACAGAACGAGTTTAAGCAGGTTTCAGGCCGAATTTGCGCTGGCTTAGTCTGCGAATATTCGCATGCGAAACATGGCAAGTGAAGGGTGAAAGGATGTTGAAGGGTGGATGCGGGAGTTGCAAATTTAACTCGCAATTTTGTAGATCATCCGAATGCTCAAGTCTCACCCTCATCTTGCTCATGAGTGGCTCACAGGTAGCGAAATCAACAGTCCACCCGAGCTTCGATTTGCCAAAGTGAGCCGGACAAATACACTCTGAAGGTGTTGGAAATGTCCAACGTGTATCAGCATGTGACGTCGATGCTCTTCTTTGACATTAAAAGATTTATGAGATGTCCGCTGGTAGTTTCTACTGAACTGTGAAAAAGAGCCGTCTCCCCCATGCTGGCCACTGCAAATGTCAAGTTAACCACTGCTACGCTGGGTGTTTCTTTCGAAAAATCTGGCACATGCACAAAGCGGGTGATTGGTGCGACTGACCAAACCGCTCCGCTCAACTGGCGTTTCTTCGTTCTCTGGTTTCGAAAAAGCTCCACGATCGGAACTTGTGCGCCCAAGACCGCACCCACTATCCTGGAGGTAGGGCCGCACAAAGTCTCCAAATGCTGATTGCTGCCGTGAACCGAAGTGGCGAATCTGGGAGAACCCGAGCTGACACTGGATCCCCCCCGCCAAATCCCCTGCCAAATCGTGATGATCCGTTTGAACATGGCATCCTCTTGGGGGCACTGCAGCTTCAAGAAGGTCTTGAGTGACCCCGAGCTGAGATATAGAAGCTCGATTGAATTTCCTGCGGATTTGGAGGATGTTGTCTTGAATGGTAACTGTCTTTAGATCGCTATATCATTTTGCACGGTTCCCATATCTTTTGAGTCATGGGCAGGACTATTGTCAGAAACAGAAATGTGACAATAGGGCAGCTTCACTGATCAAGGGGCAGCTTCCTGAACTAAGAATCTCCTGGCGGCTGCCTGCTGTGATCTAGATGGGGCAGTGATCACACGCAATCCTTTCTGCACCGTTCTCGCTGAAATCTCCATCGGATGTCCTTCTTCGCGTTTCGTCGGTCGGAAGGGTGCCATACTGGCCAGAGGGAGGCCAGGTAGTGGTGAGGGATGGAGTACGTACCGAGAACCCATGAGTACAGGGGTTGGGTGGTTCAGGTCCGGAGCGCTGGGCCATGGAGGCTCCAAGGATTCTGTAGCCGGAATCCTTTTTGGTCGCTTAGAGCGCAAAACAACATGGAGAGAGCTGAGCAAGCAACATGGAGGTCAGTGAGGGACGTTGGCGGGTGTGTACAATTGTACCACACATGCCCTGATGCAGCCCCCTCAGCTCTCTTCTTTCCCTTTCTCACACGCTTCTTTCAATTCACGGCGCCTCCAAAAACGCAACAACCATTCCTTTCTCTCACCTTCCAAGAGACCCCTTGATCGTCTCCATATAACCAGTTTGTGACCTCAGGACCGGGATTTCTCCCAATTCGGTCTCTTTCTTTCGCAGGTCCTGGTGATTACTTCAAGAAGCTCTAGATCTTCAAAAGCTTGCCGCCCGCAGAGATCCATTCATGAGAATTCATGTGTTTCTTCAGTATGACAGTATGATGGTCTTCTTCTCTGTTCATGGAGACCTTCCGGCCAAGACTTTGGCACAAATGGAAGCTTTCTCGCCTCGGTGAAGCCCGGTCATTCGGAGATGGCAGTCGGTGGCTCCGTGCAGTCACGTCAAACACGGTCAAACTGGCAGTCCAGCCAACTCAGCTGTGAGTCAACCTTACAGCCTTGCGTGTTTGTTCGAACCGCCCACCCAGAGTCTCAGTGCCAGAATTCGTCCAGCGCCAAGACCAATCCAGCAAAAGCGATCCATGAAGCTGCTTCTTGCCTCAGAGCCTTTCGCTGGTTTCTGCTGGTTGAACTGATTCGAGCCATTCTAGCCATCTTGGGAGCTTCGCTCACACGTCCATGCATGTTCCAGGACCCCCCAAGAAGCCCATTCAGGAGTCTAAAGCGTGCTCGACTGTGATCTTGTTTCGCAAATGTCATATGGAACCTATACCTAGGTTCCTAGGTATGGATCCTTTGGAAGTCATTGCCTGCGAACCTTTATTTTAAGACTTTGATGCCACAAAGGCATCTCTTGATCGATCAAGGCGAGTGCGCCTTGATTTGCTTCAGGCCTGCCAAACTCCGCCTGTCCGCGTCAGCTGACGACATGGACACGCGTGTTGTTGGCTTGAAAGTGGTTTTGGTATGTTTTGGTGCCATTCGGTGGTTTTTGAGCGGCTCAGCGTTGGCTTTGAAACTATTGCAAAACATGTCGAAGTATGCTTTACTAGCAAGATGTTCCAGTATTTACAATCAGAAATGACACCCTTTACATAGCATGCACAGTGCAGTGCCCAGGATATATTGAGGTGCCTGAACATTCCCAGGCCAACAAACATGGTTGCCACCAGGAAGTTACATGAGTGGCACTTCTTAATAGTGTGAAGCTGACAGAGTTTGTGAAGGGAGTTCTGTCCAGCAAAGCATCCGCAGGAACAGCGTCTGAGCGTTGTCGACCCCTTTTCATTGCTGTCTCTGGCTCTCGCCACTCGAAACAAACACATCGAGAGCCCAAGGGAGCGGTCGACAGCCGTGCGTGGTCTGAAGGGCAGCCACTGCTGTACCCAGGCACAAGCCCTGAACGAAGCGTGAAGGCCAATGTCAATTCCCCGCTTGCGGCCGCGATGCGTTCGGCTGTTGCCTGATGTTGAGAGTATTCGGAGGCGCTTTGACAAACGGCTTCGCAACGGTTCGGTTCGTGTGAGCTACATTCTCAATGACATCATAAAGACTTGTATCATCAGGCTATGTCTCACAAATTGCTGTTCCAATTTTCATGTCCTATAGTTACGATTGTGGACAGAACTGTAGGATTCTCTGCACAAACCCTGTTCAGGAATTAGGGAGGCCAATTTCCCTTGAGTTGCGTTTGTTCTCCTGGAGCAAAGCACTATACGCGTTAAGAGGAACTCATGTGTTTCATGTGCAAAGGCCCACGTGGTGTAGCCACTTTGCGTAGACGTCTCTAAAGTGTTGCACTGCGAAAGCATTTCGCAACGCACCTGATGCCTTGCAACAAATCCAACAAAGGTTGAAGGACCCTACAGATTACTTAACCTCTCTGATTCCACCCGAAGAAACAAGGCTAAGAGCTTCTGTCCCACGAGTGTCTGGCGAAAAGCTTCTGCCGTCAACGCCTCGCGCCCGCGTCGTGCCACGCAGCACCGACACAAGTGTCGTGCGGCGTCTCTTTCGCGTGGTCGTTCGGGGTGCGGAGCGAGTCTCCTCCGGTGCTTTGAAGTCGATCTGAAAGCCTTTCCACACGAAGACGCTCAAGAGGAGCTTTAACAGCCGACGCAAGGAAGAAGGGTGCGTCAGCCCGAGGTGCATGGATGGAAGGGTGAAAAAAAGGTGTTCAAAGGGGAAGCAGTTCAAGGCCTTGACACGTTCTTTCTCCTTTCGAGCGGATGCGAACCTGAATCCAGCCACCGGATCAGTAGTGAAACCAGAAGTTGTGTGGGACTCCAACGGCTGGCCAAGAGAGGTTAAGTGACCTTATAGGACCCTGCTGGGGTACCTATGGGATAGTCTATAGGGTCACTGGCTCAAATTTTCTGCTGATCGTAGCGATGACAAAATCATGTTCGAAGTTGAAGATAATCCATCCCTGTCGCAATGCATCGTTTGTTCCTTGCATACCGTCGTGCAGAAGCAACGTGTGACTGTGTCGACAGAACATCCGACTCTGAAACAATCAGGTTTTTCTGAGGCTTTTTAAGGGCAGCTTTGGTTGAGAAGACCATGGCTTCATTGTTGCATGAGTTTTGCGATCTCTACAAAAATATTCCTGTGTGCAGGCGTTGTACATTGCATTTTGTAGTAGAGGGTGAGGTTTAGGGTCTAGAAAATGAGGGGACTCAAGTTGCAAGTCTACAAAATGAAGGGGGCCTACACCACCAGAAAGGTGACTTTTTGGCTATAAAATGCAGTGGAAACTGTGAGCGGCAATCATGTGCAGACCTCGGGTCCCACTAGAATTTGACTTACCCAGCGTCTATCGCACATTGTTTTACTGCTTTTTGGCTACATCATCGACTGTAATCAATCACAAACTGACTACAAAATGGCTGGGCTGTCCAAAATGGCTGGGCTGTCCAAAATGGCTGGGCTGTCCAAAATGGCTGGGCTGCCCAAAAGGTCAAATTACTACAAAATGACTGCCCAAAAGTAGATTTCACTACAAAATGCTCTTTTATTGTGGCCGCAAGGCCAGTCATTCTCTAGTGGAAATTCCATCAGGGATGCAGAAATGTTTGTTCGACCCGAGCTGAAGTGGGCTCGAGCAAGACTCCACGCTGTCATCTTGCTTCCGCCGTCGGACCAACAAAGAACGAACTGTTTTCACTGAGCAGTTCGTGAAATGGCCTTCAATGGCCTGGCCTGTCCGGAGCTAAGAAAATGGGATTGGGTGGAGGCTCCTCGGGTGGGTTTCGAAGCCACCAAATGTGTTTCTTTGCCGGTCGTCTGTTCCATGGATCATATTGTACAAAGACGTTGGCAAAGAGCTTGATTGGTGGACTACGCAGGGGTGTGATTCAATGCAAGCAAGAGCGCAAGATGCTAAGACCTCCTACACACTAAACTGATTCAGGTCAGTGGGGCATTGGTCGCCCGCTTGAGCGCCATCCATTTTGGGGGCTAGTCCATTCGGTGAGTTGTTACACCCTCCTTAGCGGATTTTGACTTCCATGACCAGCATGCTGCTGTCAAAACTGAACGTGCAGTCACCTCATTCGCCAGTTCTGACGAAGAACGGCCCACTTAGAGACTGGAGGTGGTCAACCAACAAAGCAAGCGCACCGTGGAGACGTCTTGGACGGACAGGATCGATTCTGACCGCACACTACGCGACGGAAAAATGGCCGACCCGAAGGGAGTCCCTTCGTCTTCCGCCTCCTGGCTCTTTCCAGGCTTTTCACCAAGAGCACAGTGACACGTTGACCAAGGTCGTCTTCCATAAAGTTCTTCCGTCGGCACTCAGGAACGCGACGCTCCGTCGTTTCTTCCGACGCTGAGAAACGGCCGCTTCGTTCGTCGCGTCCGAGCGCTCCGGACGCGATGCCGCGATGCCCTTTGTTAGTAGCTTCTTGTTACAAGTAAGGCCAGGAGCCCTGCATCTGTCCCCTTGGCCCGGTGTCATGTGTGGTCTGCTTCGCCGGAAAACGCCGCGCCTCGTAGACCGATAGCCTTCCTATGTCCGATGCAGCCGGATGAAGACCGGCTTCATGCCGAAATCGCGCGTGGTCAGACGTTGCATGGCAGGTCAGACCAAGTTCAGATGTGTTTTAAGTTTGTGTTACATTGTTACATCTTCCAGGCCATGCAAAATAGCTGCCCTTTTGTTGAAACATGTGTTGTCCAAGCAGGCAATTCCTCAGAGAGCGGTTTTTTTGCAATTTCTCAGGATATCAAATTGCGAACTGGCGACTGGCTTCTGACGTTACCGCTATGAGTGGCCAATGAATTGCAACGTCATTCATTCATTAATTCATTCACAGCAATTGAAAAATGAAACACCGATATCCACGGCGGGACCTGCGGTACAGGTGAGTTGCAAAGTGCATTGTCAGAGTTGGTCTCTACTTTCTTTGGAAACGTTTCAAGACTTGCGACGCAGTCAGGTCATCTGGGGGGTTCCGGTGCGGTTCGGGGTATCACCCCGAACGAGTTCGGGTGTTGCACCAATGAGTGCTGACACCAAACTCGCGTGACCAAACGATCCAAAGTTCTGCCGCCACGGGTGGATGGAGAAATGATGAGAAATGGGCAGTTACCTTCTGGAGTCGTTGCTGCTCGCTGCTCACAACTGCCAGAGTTGGGGCGGAAGACATGGGGTCTAGGAGATGAGAGCATTCTGAAAACACAGCGCCTCTCCAGCTCTAGCCCAAAGCAAAAGATGCAAATACCCCGGTTCACCACCCCATTGTTTGTTTTTGCCACATGAGCCACACTCCATGACTACATCGAAGAACATCTGGACGTGGTGAGTGTGTTTGTTCCGGTCTTCTATCCTATCTTTTCTTGGTGAGTGCATGACCGTTTTGCAGCTTGAAACTTGAAACTTCCTTTTGAGATCCGTTTGCCATACCAAAAGTCATGGGTGGGTGTGACTACGTGACACTGGGTGTTTTTACCCACGTCCCTACATCCCTTTGTCATGCGTCATTACCTCATCCGTTTCTTCTCCAAACGGAGGAAAAACGGCGACACCTGCACCAAGTCTTCAACACTGTGGCCCAAATCGTGGTGTCGAAACTTCGAAAGGCGGCTCTCACCAAACAGAGATGAGTGCTGTGGAGGTGATCAGTGGCTTCGTCAAGATGTCGACCGAAGCCGGTGGGAGGCTTGCAAGAGAGGTTCAGTGACCTTGGACCCCACTGGGATACCTAAGGGATCATCGCTTTTTCAGGTCCTTCAACCTCTGTTGCTTGATTTCAGGCTGGCGGAACCTTGTGCGACACATCAGTCCTCGGGCTGGAGCTGAAGGCGCACACACTGCGGCTCGGCGGCTCGGCGCCATGATCCCTGTATTGAATTCACCGGGTGGCGCTGTACATTGCATTTTGTAGTAGAGGGTGAGGTTTAGGGTCTAGAAAATGAGGGGACTCAAGTTGCAAGTCTACAAAATGAAGGGGGCCTACACCACCAGAAAGATGACTTTTTGGCTACAAAATGCAGTGGAAACTGTGAGCGGCAATTATGCGCAGACCTCGGGTTCCACTAGAAATTGACTTACCCAGCGTCTATCGCGCATTGTTTTACTGCTTTTTGGCTACATCATCGACTGCAATCAATCACAAACTGACTACAAAATGGCTGGGCTGGGCTGCCCAAAAGGTCAAATTACTACAAAATGACTGCTCAAAAGTAGATTTCACTACAAAATGCTCTTTTATTGTGGCCGCAAGGCCAGTCATT